CCTAGTGCTCTTGATAAGAAACTTTACTGTTCTGCTCCCGAATTGGAGAACATTTTGGCCTTGCCTTCGGTTGACGCTCCAGTTGCAGCTCTAACTTCATCCTCTGTCATTACTACGGACATTGTTGATGGACTTAAAGCAGAGGATCGGAAGGCAGAGTTGGCCTTTAGAAAGACGCATCAGGTGGCTGCCTGGGCGGTCAAGGCAGCCATCTCTACCTCCTTCTTCACTAGAGCCTCCTTGCTCTGGCTGCGCCAATTACAAGAGAGATTGCCTCCTGATGACATCAGATTGCATCATGATGTCAACAAACTAGTGGCTGCCGCTGAATATTCAGCAGATGCTTCTCTGAATGCTGCTAAGTTTGCCTCTCGCGCATTGTCTTCTGCGGTGACCTCTCGTAAGATGTTTTGGCTGCGTAATTGGAGAGCTGATGCTAAGACCAAATGGAAGCTGGCGTCTGCGCCTTACTCATCTTCGAAGTTGTTTGGAGCGGCACTAGACCCCTTACTGATAGAGGACAAAGATAAGCACAAGATCCTTCCGTCATCCTACAGGAGACAGGAACGCAGGTATGCTCCATACGCGCAGCGACATTCCTTTCGTCCCTTCACAGGATCAGGGATGTCCTATCATCAAAGACCTTATTCACAAGGTTCAGATCGACCTTCAGACAGACAGTCCTTTCGAGACAGAGGCAGGCCGCATCTCCAGTCCAAGCGCCCATTCAGGCCGGATTCAGGCCGTTCAGATGAGGCAAGTGACTCAAGGCCGTTGGCTCCCATTGGTGGTCGTCTCCAAGGTTTTCATCATCAGCGGGAGTCTTCCAAGTGCGAACAATGGATCCTTCGCACCGTGACTTTCGGTCTGTGTCTAGAATTTCTCTCCACCCCTCCAAGTCGTTTCATCCGTTGTCAGGTGTCACCGCTTCCCGCAAAAAGACAACTGATGGAGGCAGAACTCCGTCATCTCCTCTCCATCAATGCCATCGAATCAGTTCCCGTGTCCCAGCAAGGGACAGGCTTTTATTCGACCGTGTTCCTGGTGCCCAAGTCCTCGGGAGGGGTCAGGGCCATTTTGAACTTAAAACTTCTCAATCAATTCATCCTGTATCGAAGATTCAAGATGCAGTCCTTGAAGTCAATTCTGGCTTGCGTCAGACAAGGCGACCTTTTGCAATCAGTGGATCTTAAGGAGGCCTACTTGCATGTGCCTATCCATCCAGCACATCGCAGATTCCTGTGCTTCGAGTACAATGGCCATCATTTCCAATACTGCGCGATGCCCTTCGGTCTATCTTCTGCTCCACGAACATTTACCAAATTGGTGGCAGTTGTCGCAGCTCAGCTCCGCCTGATACCAGTGAGAATCCTGTGTTACCTTGACGACATTCTCGCCCTTTCATCTCACCCACAGCAGGCAGTTCGAGACATAACAGCTGTGATCACCGTGTTCCAACAATTCGGCTTCACCATCAACTTCCCGAAGAGTCACCTCATGCCCACCACTCGCATTCTTCATCTGGGGGCGATCATAGACTCCAGCAAGGGTCAGGTGTTTCTTTCGCCAAACCGGATCCGCAGCCTCAGAGATCTGGTGTCTTAGGTGAGATCTCTCAGGGCGGTGTCTCCTCTGCTGCTGTCCCAACTTCTGGGGAAGATGGTGTCGTGCATAGCTATCGTTCCTTGGGCACGCAAACACTCCCGTCTGTTGCAGTGGTTTCTGTTACGATTCCAGAAGTCGGGGAGAGGCACGTCCAAGACACCTGTGTTTCTCCCACTTCAAGTTCAGACCTCACTCATATGGTGGCTTTCGCCGGCGCTGTCAAAGGGGTGCACCTTTCTGGAACCAGACCGGCTCGTGGTGACATCAGACGCGAGTTTGCAGGGGTGGGGTGCTCACCTGCTGAACGAAGTGGTGCAAGGTCTTTGGTCTCCGGAGGAGAAGACGTACAACATCAATTGGTTGGAGCTGTGAGCGGCGCGCCTGGCCCTTCGGCGGTTTCGTCCTCTCCTAGAGGGTCAACACGTCTTGCTCCTCACGGACAACATGACAACGAAGGCCCATGTGAGTCGAGAGGGGGGAACTCGATCCAAACCCTTGATGTTAGAGGCGGAGAAACTGTTGTCTTGGGCAGAGCGTCACACGAAGTCGATTCGGGCGGATCACATTTCTGGAGAAGCCAACGTTCGAGCAGATTGGCTCAGCAGAGCACATCTAGATCCGGCAGAGTGGCGCCTTCATCCGGAGACATTTCAGGACATAATCCAGAGGTTCGGGACACCCCTGGTGGACCTCTTCGCTACGCCTCAGAACGCACAGCTTCCCAGGTTCTTCTCCCGGTTTCCCTGCCAGGGAGCAGAAGGACACGACGCCCTTCGTTGTCGGTGGCCCCCGGGCCTGCTTAACACATTCCCTCCGCTGCCTTTGATCCCGAAAGTCATCAGGAAGGTCCTGAGAGAACGGGCCGAACTCCGCCCCTTGTTGGCCGAACTCCGCCCCTTGTTGGCCGCGCAGGGCATGGTACGCAGACTTGGTGAATCTTTCCACAGCTCCCCATTGGACTCTTTGTCTGCACAAGGTGTCGCTCTCCCAGGGAGTCATCGCCCACCCAGATCCCCAGTGGCTCCGGTTAACCGTGTGGCGCTTGAGCGGGTGTTCCTAAAGAAGGATGGCCTTCCAGATGATGTGATACACACCATTCAATCGTCCAGGCGGCCGTCGACGATTCGTATTTATGAGGCTTCTTGGAAAGCCTTTACTGTCTGGTGTTCTAAGCATCATGTTGACCCCACATCGGCCGATGTACTGGAGGTCCTACAATTTCTTCAAGCCGGTTTGGACAAAGGGTTGGCTCCGGCAACACTGCGGAGACAGGTCGCGGCTCTGGGCACGGTCTTATCTCGCGACCCTCGTCGGCCTTTATCTCATGATTCCAGGATTCGAGGTTTTCTTCGGGGGGCGACAGTCATCTCGCCGCCTATTGTACATCGTTATCCTTCCTGGGACCTGCCTTTAGTTCTTCACGCTCTTACATCCGATCCGTTTGAACCTTTGGCCTCCATCAGTTTAAAGTTCCTGTCGTTCAAGTTGGCGTTTTTATTGGCCATTACGTCTGCAAGGAGAATTTCCGAGATTGCAGCGTTATCTGCCCGCAAGGACCTTTGCATCTTCCATGCGGACAGAGTTGTATTGAGATTAGACCCTTCCTTTGTTCCAAAGGTGAACTCATGGTTTCATCGAGCTCAGGAGTTGGTCTTGCCTGATTTCTGCCCGGACCCTCACCATCCCCACGAGAAGCGTTGGCATACGTTGGATGTACGCAGGGCTCTGCGAAGATACCTTAAACGGACGGCTTCCTTTCGACAGACTGAGGCCCTCTTGGTGTCCTTCCATCCTGCTTCCATGGGTCGTAAGGTGTCTTCTTCAACTGTGGGTCGTTGGATCAAGGCGTGTATTTCGATGGCATATGAATGCCAAGCCAGACCGGTTCCAGGCAGAATTTTTGCTCATTCTACTCGCAGTGCAGCGACAACAGCTGCGTGGGCTACTCAGGCTTCCATTACTGACATCTGTCGTGCTGCTACTTGGTCTTCAGCTTCACAGTTCATCCATCATTACAAGATTGATTCTTTTGCCTCGGCTGAGGCTTCATTTGGCAGACGGGTGCTTCAACAAGTCCATTCTGCCAGGGTGGCCGAGAGCAGTCAGTCTCCCACCCTATAGTAGAGCTTGGGTATATCCCAGCCATGGAATGTAGGAAGCAGCGCACTGGAAAATGGACGTTGGCTTACGTGAACGTCCTTTTTCAGGGCGCTGCGACTATATTCCATTCCCGCCCTTGTTCCGGCTTACTACTCTGGCCGGCTTGTTGTTGGTGATGTTTGTGTTGTTTGTTTGTTTCCTTCTTATAGATTCCTGGTTTCCAGCTCCTTCGTGAAAGACTGAAGTAATCAGCATAAAGGGGGCGGAGACCAGAGTAAAAAAAAAAAATTTGAATATTTAACACCCAGTAATCAGCTACAAGGAAGTGAAGATCCCAGCCATGGAATGTAGTCGCAGTGCCCTGAAAAAGGACGTTCACGTAAGCCAACGTCCATTCTACTATTGGACATTTATAAACTGTCTTGGAGAGAAGGGAGACAACATGCATCCATAAGTCACTCGACTCTACCTAAAGATCTATAGCAGGGGTGTCAAACTCAAGGCCCAGGGGCCGGATCCATCCCGCAGGGTACTTAGATCTGGCCCACGGGGCCACTCTGTAAACAGCAAAGGACTTCAGCGAGGTGCTTCTGCCCAGCAAAAACAGGCTCCCAAGCTCCGTTTTTGCTGGCAGAGGGTTGCAGGAGTCCGTCACAGCTGAAAACGGAGCTTGGGACCCTGTTTTCACTGACAAAGCGCTTGGGCCACCACAGACGTCCCCATGAGTTGAGCTGGCCACGCCCACTCTGACCACGCCCCCCTCAAGGTCAAACACAACCCTGATGCGGCCCTCAATGAAATCGAGTTTGACACCCCTGCTCTAGAGTATTTAGAAGTGATTTTGAGACCTCCAAGTTACAGGATTGGATATCATGAGCAGCATGTCAATGCAGTTTTAAAAGTCAAGCCACAAGAACCTTGAAAGAAGTCTCAGCAGCAGGTAGAACTCCTGCATGCTTGCTTCTCTGTTTCCTCAGAAAAGGGTAGCTAAATCATGCCAACTAAATCAGGCAATAACTACTGTGCCTTTTACTTAATATGGAAATAATTTTGTTGCATCAGAAATCTCTGTATCCAAAATGCCCCTGTATATCCTATACGGTGGCCAGTTAGGCTGTCAGAAAGCAAAGGAGAAAGGAATTACAGAGAAAGTAGGTATTTCCATTAAGGGCCCTATGCTCTTAATTAGTCATTTTTTTTCCATTTAATTAGCCATATTCACCTGCAGTCCTTCGGGTGTGCAAAACCCAATGTGCTGTTTGGTAAGCAGATACCAGATTAAGAAAAGTCACACATTTCCTCTATTTATTTTAATGAGCCCCACTCTTTTGCCACAAGTTCAAAGGTTTTTCTGCTTTTCTTCCTTTGCGCCTTCATAGGGAAGAAATAGTAGAAAAATGAAATGCTGTCTCTTTAAGCAGGGAAAATGATCAAATATTTATATCCCTTGGAACAGGAACCTGCTTGTGCTTTCAAAGCAAGGAAATAAAACATACCCTGTAGGATGAGAATGTTCTTCTGTGTCCCATTTAACAGCTGGACAAATAGATTATAAAGGTGCCCAGTAAGTAAGATGTAGCATATGACAGATGGTTATGACAATCACACCCAATTCTGTTCCTACATCTTGCCAACATTTTTTTTTTTTTGCTAAGCCCAGCTGCTCTATCTTTACTAGCATAACCCATTTCATTCAATGTTTAAATAGTGAAGCTTTTCCTATAGCATGCCCATCAAGTTTTCCTCTGAATTTCTATCCATCAGGCTAATATCAACAGAGCTAGAGAGCCAGTTTCAATTGCTCTGATGTGTTCCATATCTATTCATTGCATGTGTTGATGGACAACACACTTGTCTTAAAGGTAAAAGGTAAAGGTTCCCCTTGCACATATGTGCTAGTTGTTCCCGACTCTAGGGGGTGGTGCTCATCTCAGTTTCAAAGCCGAAGAGCCAGCGCTGTCCGAAGATGTCTCCGTGGTCATGTGGCCGGCATGACTAAATGCCAAAGGCGCACAGAGCGCTGTTACCTTCCCACCAAAGGTGGTCCCTATTTTTCTACTTGCATTTTTTACGTGCTTTCGAACTGCTAGATTGGCAGAAGCTGGGACAAGTAACGGGAGCTCACCCCGTTATGCGGCACCAGGGATTTGAACCGCTGAACTGCCGACCTTTCGATCGACAAGCTCAGCGTCTTAGCCACTGAGCCACCGCGCCCCTACACACTGTCTTAGGGTGTAATAAAGAAGCACTGCTTCGGCACAGTTTCACGGCTTCTGTTCTCTTTACCATGGGTAATCGACAGCGATATTTCTCAATCCTGGCATTTTATACATGTGTAGAAATTCTTCAGGCCAACAGACCCATTTCTGAAAATCCTGATTTACAGGATTCTCATTCTGAACCTCCCTATCGCCAAGCATTCATGTGGCATATACTCTGTGGCAGCTTAGCAAAACAAGAAGCAAAAATACCAGTTCAAAAGCTTGTTCATGTACAAACCCCATATACAACAACAAAGGATACCAAGAGGATCAATTTAACATCTAATTACCCAGAATCATTTGCTTAATTAAACAGCTTAGTGCCTTCCAATTCTTTCCTTTCATTCTATAAAATAAATTATTTAAATCCATATAGAGGAAGACCCACCCCCTATAGACAAGACAAATATGAGGTAGGAAAAAGGGTTAAGATATCGGATGAAGATTTTCCTTCCATATTGGACCAAGGTGATGATGCCCTGTGGATTCTTTAGTTGAATCCACCCATCCAACCTATTCTTAATATTCTTGCTTTTTTAGTTCCAACTATCACTCTCTAAAATAGGTTAGAGCTATGCAGCAAAATATCAAAAGATGACTATTCGTTGTTGTTTTTTAAAAAACAAGCAAGAAAGCAATTTGTTAAATAGAACAGCTTGCATAAATTATGAAGTAGCCAAAGACAACAGGAAACTGAAACATATATCTAATCCAGGGGTGTTAAACTCAAGGCCCAGGGGTCGGATCCAGCCCGTGGGGTGCTTAGATCTGGCCCATGGAGCCACCCTGGAAACAGTGAAGGACTGGCCCATGGTGGCTCTGCCAGCGAAAACGGAGCTCGAGAGGGCCACACACAGCCCGCCCGGGCTCCATTTTGGCTGCAACGGCCTCCTGCAGCTCTCTGCCAGTGAAAATGGATCCTTGATGAGTGATGTCGAGCTGGCCATGCCCACCCTGGCCACGCCCCCGGCCACACACCCCCTCTAACCAATTTAGGTTAACAAACACCCTCCTCCCCCAAGGTCAAACATAATCCTGATATGGCCCTTAATGAAATTGAGTTTCACACCCCTGATCTAGTCAATCCAACTCTCCTTCCAAAGCAAAACGGGACTCTACAATCAAATCTATTTAAAAGAGCAATAAAATTCAGTCTATGTAAGGGGGGGGAGGGGAAATCAGATGCCACACTACAGTAATAGGTAACTGATTAAGTCTAACTGGAATTTAGTAAAGATGTCAGTGCTAACAACTAGACCAGCCACCAACTCTGATGTCCTTCACTTCCCTCAGTGATTTGGAAGGAGGCCTTGATGAGAGCACCACAGCTTCTGCTGTAGAAGGAAAATAATAATAAGAGTGCCATAACATTCCTAATAGACAACAGCTGAAATGACTAAGCAAGGGAGAACAGGTGGAGAACCTGAGGCCACCAGGTGAGTATTCTAGCCCAGGGGTCTCCAACCTTGGCAACTTTAAGATTTGTGGACTTCAACTCCCAGCAAAGCTGGCTGAGGAACTCTGGGAGTTGAAGTCCACAAATCTTAAAGTGGCCAAGGTTGGAGACCCCTGTTCTAGCCTATGATTAAAGCTGCAAAGAGCCCAAGAACCATTAGCTTAATTTTCAGCCAGAAGCTGAAGAAACAGATCAGGCTCTCAGAAATTTTATATGTACTCTTGATGATGGCTAATCCATGGTATCCATCATTAAGGGAGTAAGGCACTGGAGTAATCATCACTCCTCGCTATTTTTTCTAATCTTAGCATTACCCTATTATTACTCACAAATATAGGCTTGGGGCCCAATTAGAATCCTAAATACTCTGTAGTGTAACAGAACAAAATTCCAGTGTATCTAAACCACCACTATGCCAAAAAAATAATACATATCCAATTATACAGCTGGTAGAGCAGGTTCATTGTAATTATAAGTATGAGAAACAAACAGTACAGGGTAAATCCACAGTCTCAAAATTCTTTAAACTGCTTTGGGGGGTGGGTGGGGGGAGATATGAAGTTACTGTGCCTTGGCTGAGATAAGGCAAGATCTTTTTCTCAAAATATTCAATAATCAGTGACAAAGCTAGGATTTAAAAAAAAGGGGAGGGGTTCTTCCAATTGTTTTGTAAAGAAAAAGTGAGGTTTTTAAAAATATATATTACTTTTGATGTAATGGGAGAAAAAGCTGCCCCCTATCACTTATCTTCCATCTGCCAAGGCAAAAAAAAAATGCTAATTTAACTGAACCATCATATGGAGAGCAGATACATGTCTCTACATGCATAAAGTAAGGAAGCAGAATTATGTCACAAGAAAACAAAAAAAAAAAGTTTTTAAGAGTTTTTGGATTTGGAAGGTCTATCACCTACAGCATGTCAGGAAGGCTCTAGCAGCGTGAAAAATTCACATTGGTCCCCAGAGAATAAAGTGCTTTTCACATCCACCCATCCAAATTCCCAGCCAATAGATACAATTTCTTCTCTCAAAATAACTCTGTGCTGGGTTGTTTAGAAGCAGGCGGGGTAGAAGATCATGAAGCAGACTATATTCCTTTTTAGAGAACTTACAGAAAGTGTGGTTAGCCAATCTATTGTGGGTAGGAAAGAATGGCATCTTCTTTGAGATCCATTTGAAAACAATTTCTTAACAGGATAAAAATAAATAACACTTCCTGCAGACAAGCTCCCCTTAAATACAAGGCAATACTTCACGATATGAATTGCGGCAAGTTCCACCAGTTCATCCTGTAGTCTTTTAACCGTTGTTGCCATCCACTCACATGTGAATTCTGCTTCTCTCACCCTTCCAGCAGCCACCATTTCTAAGTACAACAAGGATTATCAATGACCAGCATGACATCAATGCCATAAACTTCCAGGAGGTCCAGGAGAAAGCTACGGTCGCCTTGAGGATCCAAGCCCATTCCACGGGCATGGTCAGCTGTCAATGTCTTGTCCTGGCTGGCTGATATCTCCATCAATGTCTGAAATATCCGATTGTTCTGCTCCATGAAGAACCTTAGAGATAATGTGAAATGGAGACATATGAAGATGTGTAAAGCCTAAAGACATTCTGCTCTCCAAGCCTATGACTATTACTCATCTTCTGTTACCCCCAAATTTGGGAAAATTCAATTGGCAATCACTTAAAACTGAGGACAAGCCACCTGTCCTGTATAGGAAATAGCCTCCTGAGAATATACTGCTCAATAGGTTTCTACAAAAACCTGTTGAGCAGTGAAGTACCTTCACTAAAGTCCCATACCCCATTACAAGGGGCTTCTTCAGGAATTCTCATTCAAATAGTAGACACTCTATCTGAATCCATTATTATCTAGGTAGATCTTTCTCTGCTTGTCTGTAGGATTTTTGATGATATCCTTCATTTATTTTTCCATATACAGCCTCCCACTATCTCAAAGGTAGGGTTACCTACTGGTCATGGCCAGCATAATATACACTCAGACTTGTTCTTTTGTTCTACATTCTTTGTCCCAATTCACCCTTTAAAATGATTCTTTACAACCTTAGCGTGTTGCAACACAAAGCACTAGCTTCTAGCATCATATGCATTTGCAGAAATGTGCCCTAAATAAGTCGCAATTACTGGAAAGAGCACCCTAAGAATTTAATGCGCCAAATAAGTGTTATTCAATATGGCAGCCATTTTGTGAATGGACCCACCACAAAGTCTCAAAATTCAAACTACTCTTAATCTAGTATTGCCGTTTGCCATTCAGATTAATATTATCATGCCACTACCTTTCCAGGTTAGTGAACTACAATGCCAACCTAACTTTTAACCATGTAGCCTTTGACTAGCTAACAAACACTCTCAAGAGTTTTTTCTTGCCAATGTTCTTGATATTTATTTCCTTGCAGATGCTGAATTTGAAAGTATAACATTTCAAACTCAAGGTGTATTTTTACTGCTTAAATTTAGTTTCAATTTTCATTGCCTCACCAATAGCATAAAACATAACCATTGCTACAACCTGCTTACAGAATTTGGAATATAACGTTGAGGACTCCGACTTTAAGCTGACCATCAGAGTAATAGATCTGACTCTGGCGTCTCATTCTGACATGCTACTATGCTTCTGTGAATATGTGGCCCCATGAAATATGGATTCCCTAATGGCTACTGAGACTTGCAAAAGTCCATGAAAAGAATACGTTTTTCAGTGGTGGCTGCCACAGATTGGGTAGGTATGTATGGGGGAACCTCAACCTATCACATCACTGAAGAGCCTACTGCGATCAGGTAGGAGGAGACTTACAGAGAATGAGAAAAGGAGATCAAAGGAAATAAACTCCCCAAAATCACAAGAATGGCTTGGAAATATCTCAAACGTAGCTCATCGCTAATTTCAAGCAGTACTCTGAAGAATCCCATCTGAACAACTTACAAGATGAAGAGGTCCTCTTCACAAGAACTACAGTCACCATCTACTTCCTGGGAGTACATCAGCATCTGTCTGAATGAGGGAAACATATATACTCATCACACTGACAGATCCACAATTGATGCCCTATAGCAGGGGTGTCAAACTCGATTTCATTGAAGGCCATATCAGGGTTGTGTTTGACCTCAGGGGGGAGAGGGGCGGTGTGGCCAGGGGGGGCATACCAGCTCGATGTCACTCGTGTCAGGGGTGCCTGTGGTGGCTGTGATCTGCCAGCAAAAAATGGGCTCCTGAGCTCCGTTTTTGGCTGTGATGGCTTCCTGCAGCCCTCTGGCAGAGAAAATGGAACTCGGGAGGGCTGCAGAAGGTCCTCCAAAGCTCCATTTTTGCTGGCAGAGGCACCGCAGGCCAGTCCTTTGCTGTTTCCAGGGAGGTCCTGTGAGCCAGATCTAAGCACCCTGCAGGCCGGATCCAGTCCCCAGGCCTTGAGTTTGACACCCCTGCCCTATAGCAATGCAAACAAAATATCCAAAACCAGACCCAATATTTCCTGGACATGCAACATCATTACAAAACCAAAGGAAAGCTACGTTTAGATTTTTCTTTTCTTCATTTATTTTGTAGCATTTTAAAAAAGAATTTTCATATTCAAACTTAATGAGTGAATCCTTCCCTGTGGTTCTGCAAAATAAACATGCTGGAAAGAAATGACCAAATGACCTGGAACAATTCAGAACTAAAGCAGAGGCTTTCATTCAAGCTCCCCATAAAACGTGAAGAGGAATCCCTAACCAATTTCTGGTACTACCTCTGATCATTAAGTCTCTGATACTTCTCCTTGTCCGCACTGTTAATCTTCAGGAGTGGTTGCAGATGCTCAAGGTGTGTCTTTACATTCTGGTTATCTACATAGACATCATAGAGATCCTGCTTCTCTTCGAAGATTTTCTCTGTTGTGCCTGGTGGAAAAAAAACACAAGAGAATGGGTTGGATCCAGATTAAGTTAAATGCACTTGGGTTTTCCACCAAGCTCAATGAGATGTCAGCACTTAAATACAAAATCCATGGTGAGCATGGGATGAAGTTTCATTTATGTTTTTATTCAGCCTCCATGGCTGTTGGAAGCAGATGGTGTGATGGCACCAACCGAGTGGCCAGGCTCAAATATTTTAATTACCAATACCAAATAATTAGTATTGAGGGCTAGGAGTTTTGGAGGTGAGGTCTAAATGGTCGGCTGGGGAATTCTGGCAGCTGAAATCCACAAGTCTTAAAGTTGTCAAACTGTTCTGCCCCAGCTACGGACTCCAAAAAACGCAGCACACACAAAATCTGTGCAAACCTTAGTTTACTAAATTAAATCAGTCTTTTTCAAATAAAGGCTGTTAACAGCCTACAAGAATCCAAAGAATAAATAATTGTAATCTTACTATGGTTGGCAGAAAGCCCAGAAGCAATTTGCAGGAAACTGATAAGAGAACTAAGATCAGGACGTGAAGGAGAGTGAACGAAGTTGTTCCCTGAAAATTGCCTCAGTGGTCGTCCTTCCTTAAATAGGCTAAGGGAGTGGCCAATTAGCCCCAAGCCTTACTCTCGAGGAGTCCTCCTCCTTAGAAGCCACTCCTGCCTTTTGGCAGCTCTGTGCGCCCGTGCATCGAGAAGAGGCTCCTCCTCTTCTTCCTCTTCACTTATGGGAGCTTCTGGAGGTTCTGAAGGCCCTGGCTGAATCCCCGTCTCTGGCACCACATCTCCAGCCTCCCCATTGTCTGACTCAAGTGCCAGCTGCACAGGCTGCTGGCGCAGCACCACACCAGCCTCCTTGCTGTCAGAATTAGCTATTAGCTGCATAGGCCGCTGACGGGCCACAACACAAAGTTGGACACCCTTGCTGTAAGTTTTCAGAAGCTTAATACATATAGTTTGATTATTTTGACCAAAGAACTAGACAAAATCAAACCATGAAAAAACAGGGTGTCTTTGGATCTGCAGAATTGGCTGAGGGCAGCCTAAATTGCTTGCTATAGCATGTGGAGGCTATGGTATACTAATTTTTAGATAGTTCTTGCATGGAAGTGGTAGTCTTTTTTCCAAATACAGAACTAGATTTGCTGTGAAGCATTAAGACATGCTATCTCTTTATCTGCCAAAATGAAAGGGTACGTTCCTCAAATATCTTTAATATTTAACCATGATGAATGTATAAAAGTTTCATGTAAAACTGCTGGAAGTCCAACTTCTGCAACAGCCAAACTGATCCCAGGTAGGACAAATCCAATAAGGAAGTAAATCCGGAGCATTACTTACAGGCTACATATGATACTTCAGTCTCTAGCATTTCAATGTCGGCTACATTGACATAGAAAAACGGCTTAGACTCAGGGACGGTCCCTCCAATACCCGGCAAGGAGACATTGGCAAGGCAGCAGCAGCAATAAACTATGGGCAAGAACAGAAGGAAACCAACAAGGCATAAGATAGGCAACAGGACTTCCAGAACGTCTTTGAGAACTTGAGAAAAAACTTGTCACAGGAGGAACTGTCTCTACCCAGAGCAATCAAATGATATTTAGAAAATCAAAAACTGTTCATTGAGTTCCCTTGGAAAAAACAGGGGAGTTTCAATATGAAAAATTCTAAAAGACATTTGTGAATAAAGACTCTAATTAACACTTTCTTTTTCCAGAATTGTATGTTGTTTGCTTTTCTACTTTTTCATGGAGGCCATCACCTCTCTGTTCAGAAGTAAGTACGTCAACTCAGTAAGATATAATTGACTCAATGTGTATGTAGCTGAAAAACAGACAATTTAATTTTCTCTACCTCACACCCACATATTCCTGCATGCCTTAGGAACTCAGGAGGCAGCGGTGTGAATTTGTCAATAATATAACTTGTTAAATTATCTATGAAGAATGTAATGAATTGTTATGCGCTGGACAGATTTGGGTTGCTGAAGTTCAAGTCCCCATTCAACCATAGAGCCTATTGGATAACTTTGGGATGTCTGTCTGTCTGTCTGTCTGTCTATCTATCTATCTATCTATCTCTCTATCTATCTATCTATCTATCTCTATCTATCATCTATCATCTATCATCTATCTCTATCTATCTATCTATCATCTATCTCTATCTATCATCTATCTCTATCTATCTATCTATCATCTATCTCTATCTATCTATCTATTTATCTATCTATCATCTATATCTATCATCTATCTATCTATCTATCTATCATCTATCTCTATCTATCTATCATCTATCTCTATCTATCTATTTATCTATCATCTATATCTATCTATCTACCTATCTATCTATCATCTACCTACCTACCTACCTACCTACCTACCTACCTACCTACCTGTCCGTCCGTCCATCCATCCATCCATCCACCCACCCATCCATCCACCCATCCATCCATCCATCCATCCATCCATCCATCCATCCATCTATCATATATTTTTATCCTTCCTTTATGAATTTTTACAAATAACTCAGGATGGAGAACATCTAATACACCTTCCTGCTCCTATTTTTCCCATAACAACAACCCTGTAAGGTGAGTTGGGCTGAGAGAGAGCGACTGGTCCAAGGTCATCAAGCCATTTTCATGGCTAAGGCAGAACTAGGATTCACAGTCTCCCGCTTTCCAAACTGGCTCTCTCATTCCATTTCTCTGACTCCAACCCAACTTACAGTGTTTTTGTTGTAATGAAAAACATGGGGGAGGGGCTTCCTCTCTACCATTTTAAGAGCAAAGGTGCAATATAAATGCAATTTCATTAAAATTAAAAAATATAAAAATTGTGTAATATAAAATTTACACAATTAGCATGCTAAAAATACTATGCTAGGTAACAACTCTGTTCTTCACTTATAAGACATATGAGTTGATAGCTAATTTGGATATTACACAAAAGTTAAAGTGAAAAACTTATATACGCTTCTATGAAAATCTGCATCTGAACATGTATGTAAAAGTTTGTGCTTTTGGGTGTGGAGTATTTGTCATTGTCAAATGATCTTTTCTTATATAGTCCTCAACTTATGTAAGACCTCAACTTACAACTGGTAACTTAGTAACCATTTTAAGTTCCAAAAGACCTACGTGAGTGACACTTATCACCCGGATTTGAAGTTCTAAAGGTCTCCTACACACCAACTGCAGTCATGTGATCGCCTTTTGGGATCACATGACAACCAGACTACATTTATAGCTGTTTGCAGCATCCCATGGTCACATTTTTTCAAAGGTTTTGCCAAAAATCAGCATTTACTTCCAATTTGGAGCGAAGTCAGCCCATAGAGCAAACCACTGGTTCATTTAATAACCATGGCGCACACTTTGGGACTTTACGCAAAAAAGATCACATGACCCGCTTTATAAGCCGAAGTGGCGCAGTGGTTAGAGTACTGCAGGCTACTTCATCTGACTGCTAGTTGCAGTTCGGCAGTTCAAATCTCACCAGGCTCAAATTTGACTCAGCCTTCCATCCTTCCAAGGTGGGTAAAATGAGGACCCAGATTGTTGGGAGCAATATTCTGACTGTGTAAACCGCTTAGAGAGGGCTGTAAAGCACTGTGAAGCGGTATATAAGTCTTAAGTGCTATTGCTAGTGCTAGTGCTATAACTATCATAACTCATGACCATTATGGGCAGGCTCCATTACCATCATACCTTGAGGCCATGTGTAGTAGGGAAGCATTTTATTAAACAACAATTAAAATGGCAAAGTATTACTACAATTTGCTCTGCATTACAGCAACTTCCTTAAAAAACGTTTCTCTCTCTCTCTCTCTCCCTTCCTGCCTCTTCCTCTTCTTAAATTCCTGTAATATGAAATGAGTGAAAGAATTGTGCTTCCTTCTGTTGCCTGATTTTGCAACGAAGACCACATATATCTCCCCTGCTTCCTACCTCTGTAGCAGACCACACCGATGGGAGGTGGAGAAAATATCAAAATGCGTTTGCGAAGCAAGGCAAACTTCCACAGTGTCACGATCTGCTCTCCAAAGAACTTGATGAACTGAGACATACAGCCTGCGGGATGGGTGATCTGCAGCCAGAGGAAACAGCAAGGAACCGAGGTCAAAGCTAAAAGAAGAGAACTGTGGTGGGGAGCAAGTGGCCTACAGAAATGCCAGTTTGAACAAAAGCTCTGGGAAGAAAGGAGCTACCCAAACTTGGCATCATTTTTTCTTTTTCAGATAAATAGCAAAAAATTGGTCGTTCTCTTTTCACTCCCAGCAAGGAATTGACTGCTGGGATGAGCAGACAACCCATAGTTTTATTTCATTAAATATTTATGCAGGCCGCCAAACGAGTCTGACTCAGTCGACTCCCGACCCAATAAAATGCAAGGAAACATCCACAGTTAAGTAAAACAAAAACAAATTTAACAGACGCATCCACAGCAAGTAGCACAAAAACAGCGTAATAAAAAATTCCATAACCGAAGGGGGAAAAATAACAGTAACAATCAAGTCAAAATATACTCCCCAAACCCCCTAGGACTTAGAATATCCGCCCCCCCCCCAAATTGTAACATCTACTGGTAATAATGAAACCAACACACACAGTTCAACAGTCCCAATTATTCTTCACCTTCATCTCTGGATACATATATTTGTGGATGGAAGGGAGCCAGTGGATGGGTTGCTGTGAAACAAGAGTGCCTGCTGGGAAGACTCCTTTCTTGTCATCGTAAAAGGCTTCCAAGTGAGAGTAATGTCCTGGCATTTCCAACTGGTGCCTGGAAGGAAAACAAATAAACAAGACAAGCAGCTGCGGAGTGGTCTCTCTATAGCAGGGGTCTCCAACCTTGGCAACTTTAAGACTTGTGGACTTCAACTCCCAGAGTTCCTCAGAAAGCTTTGCTGGCTGAGGAACTCTGGGAGTTGAAGTCCACAAATCTTAAAGTTGCCAAGGTTGGAGACCCCTGCTCTGTAGCCTCCTTTATCAGATGCAGAATTCTTTTCCTATTTATCTCCATAACAAGACTGACAGCAAAGTGGTCCAGATGAGACCTGGACCGAGCCCATTGTTTGGGAGGATGGGTTGGTTGGTTGGTTGGTTGCCCAATTCAAGGGAAAAAGGCTGGGCTTCCCAGCAAATCCTCAAAAGGAATAGCAACAGCCATAGCATTTAGACTTATATACCGCTTCATAGTACTTTAAAACCCTCTCTTAGCGGTATACAGAGTCAGCATATTGGCCCCAACAATCTGCATCTTCATTTTATCAACCCTGGAAGGATGGAAGGCTGAAATCAACCTTGAGCAGGTCAGGATCGAACTGCTGGCAGTTGGAAGGATTAGCCTGCAACACTGCATTCTAACCACTGCGCAATTACGGAATCACACACATGACATTTCTCTTGCACAGACCAGGTCTTGATTCAGAATCAGATTCATGCTGGAGAAGCACACCCCATTCTATGATTAAGACTGGCTATGTCTCATTTTCACTTGGTTTTCACTTATTTCTACTTTATGGGGAATAACTTCATTTGGGTAGTAAACGGCATATTGGTTCATCGCTGTCACAGCCAAAACTCTAGCAGAGATTTAGAAAATCTAACAGGACTTCCCATCATCCCCCACCAGCTTCCCACCAGGACTTCCCTTCCAGTGGTGGGATTCAAAATTTTTTACTACTGGTTCTGTGTCATAGCTTGGTGAACGTGGCAGAGGAAGGCTACTCTAAAATCTCCATTCCCACCCCACCCTACTAACCTGCTTTCCAGCTCTGTTCTCCTATACAGGGCAACAAAAAAAGACCCAGCTGATCAGCTGGGACTTGATCAGCTGGGACTCGGGAGGGAGCAAATAGATCAGGGGTGGGGCCATCCAGAGGTGGTATTTGCCGGTTCTCCGAACTACCCAAAATTTCCGCTATCAGTTCGCCAGAACTGGCTGAATACCACCTCTGTTCCCTTCCCAGGGCTTGAACATTGCTTGTAGAACACTTGGAGGTGTTAGAAGGAACACCATCCCCACATGCTTCCTTTATCTAAGGACCTACCTGACTTGGTTCTCCAAGAAGTGCATGTATCTGTACAACAGAGTGTAGGAAGGAGAAAGAATGCCCACAGATTTCATGCGTGCTCCACGTTCCAATTCGCTGTCCACAGGCATATTGGCAAAACATGCCAAACCAAAGCAAATGCCTTTCCGGAAGTAACTAGAAAAGAATAAGGATACGTCTTCAAAGCATTAACAGGCAAATGACTAAAAAATTAACGAAGCCTGATGGTGGCAGAAAGGACTATGAAAACAGGTCATGGCTGGACCAGAGGATTTACAGCAAACATAGCAGTTATACCATTGCTCTTCAACTATGGCATTGAGAGCTAACTTACAATCTATCCTGAAAATACTGCACTGACACAATTTCCTTATTCTGCTTTTTCCCCTCTTGGGAAGAATATTATTCCTTCATCCTAGTTTCAGTTCCAGGATTACATAAACTTTGAATGATGGTTAAACGAATGGTTATTAGGCAAGAACTACCTGTAGATAGGTAGATGTCAAAATACCCCAAATAATCTATCTTGTTAAGTCTTTATTTGGCACCTAAAAGGTAATGAAGTAAGCACCAGGTATATTTTCTTTGACTAGCAATTGATTGATAGCAGAGGCCCACATAGAAAACCATCATTAAACAACTACAACTTATGGGCAACTTAGTAAAAGAATTATTATTCTGTTCCAAAGGAAAAAAATATATTTGTACAGAAATTCAGGGATTGGAGTACAGAAATACTGGGGGAGGGGTGGGGGAAGGGTAAGAAATGAAGAAAGAAACAAAAATGATTTTGTTGTGGGAGTTTATTACAGACCACCTGGGCAGGCAGAAGATATTGTATGTAAGCCCTTCTGTGTCAGACGTTCGATGTTTCAAAGATGCATGCAATAATGTTAATGAGAAATATAAATTATGCTGACATTTACAGGAATCTAACTCTACCAAGAGGATCAACAAATTCATATCCTCTCTTGCTGATAATTTTATCTGTCAGAAAGTGGAAGAAAGAAATAGCATCTGCTATCCTGGATTTCAACCTCATCGACAAGGAAGAATTAACTGAAGGAATTGGCACCTTGGGAAAAGTGTTTACGCTCCCGTTGAATCTGAGATATTGAGAAAAATCAAATCAGACATCAGAGGAGTGGAGAAAGTGGTGAACTGGCAATGACTAGTGGAAATGTTCTCTTATTCTATGTTTACATTTCCTCAGACAAGAAATGGGAGCTCTAGCTGGTCATGATTATGTCATTGGGAGAAGGAGGAAACTAAGGATAAACAAGGGAAAGATAAGAGAAATTGTGGGTAATTTAAACAATGTCAAGTCTGCAGAAATTGATGGATTCCTAGGCTACTAAAGGAACATATGAAGAACGGTTACAGGAACTGGGCATGGCTAGTCTAGTGAAGAGAAGAACCAGGGGAGACATGATAGCAGTGTTCCGGTATTTGAAGTGCTGCCACAGAGAGGAGGGGGTCAAGCTATTTTCCAAAGCACCTGGAAACAAACAAGGAATAATGGATGGAAACTGATCAAGGTGAGATTCAACCTGAAATTATGGGCAACTTAGTAAAAGAATTATTATTCTTTCCAAAGGACAAAAAATATATTTGTACAGAAATTCAGGAACTTTCTGACAGTGAGAACAATCAACCAATGGAACAGTTTGCCTTCGGAAGTTGTGGGAGCTTCATCACTTGAGACTTTCAAGAAAAGATTAGACTGCCATTTGTCAGAAATGCTGTAGGGTCTCCTGCTTAGGTGGGGGGGTTGGACTAGATGACCTATAAGGTCCTTTCCAACTCTGTTAATCTGTTAATCTGTTAACTCACAGAGGGCATTGCTGAACTACTGTAGTTCAGGCCACATCCCGGAAGACAGCAAATGGCATCTTCCGATTCAAAAAGAAAATATAGTCCTGTCAGCTTGATATCTGTATTGGGGAAGGTCCTTCAATAGCAAGTCTGTAAACACTTGGATAGGTGTGCTACTATCCAAGTTTGTAAGCACTTGGATAAGTTTGTTACTATTAACTGGAGCCAGCATGGGGTTATTGCAAACAAATTATGCCAAATTATATGTCTAACTATATGTCTTTTTTAGAGTTATTAGCTTTGTAGATCAGAATAATATAATCAGGCAAATAATTTTGATTATGGCAACCCCGAGAGGTCTCAGGGGACGCCCATGGCAGGGGTGAAATCTACTTACCTTCTTTACCGGTTTGGAAGTGCATGCGACACCCACGCGTGGACCCTCTGCACATGCGCAGAGGGTAAAAAGCACATCACTTCCTGGTTAAAACCAGGAAGTAACGACAACTGGGTGGAGCCTCGCGCCACCATCGCTACTGGTTCTCTGAACCACCCGCCACCATCGCTACCGGATCGGCTGAATCGGTCCGAACCGGGAGCATTTCACCCCTGGCCCAGCGGTCCTAGGGCCAGACTTTAAGAAACACTGCTGGAGTGGATCCTACACTGAACAACCTTAGGATTCTATTAACAAATCTGGAAGGCACTTGGCTTGGAAATAGACAAGCACTCATTTCTGCTTTTCAGCAGAGATGCCAATTATATTCCAGATGTATTCCAGTTTCCAGACTAGTCTTTGAGAGCAACTGCACTAATGATAAAATAGAGATGTTTACCGTTTCCTTATAAATCAATCTTCCAACATTGGGTCTTACAAGATATACTAAGATATAGACAATACCAGAGGCAGACACGTTTTAATATACTTTGTTTTCCAAATTTACGATTCACTCCTATAAGAAGAAAGAAGAGTTGCAGCCAAGGGGGAAAACAGACCATTAAAAAAGCCAAGATGTGTAACTGCAACCATGTCCCTATTTTATGTGATTTGCGTGCATAGCACACTTTGAAAAGAACGTGGGTTTGATGGCCTGGGTGCAGCTAGCATCTTGACTGTTTTATCCTCCTGCAGGAGGATAGACAGGCATTTTGAAAGGTGAATTTGAATCTGAAGAAATCACACAAACATAGAAGGACTACCTAGTGTGGCTTAATGTTGCCAGGCATAGGAGTGGGTAAAATATTATGGACAGTAAACACTGGTTCTAGGGGATGTGCATGCCATATGTGATAGCTTACTTTTTCCTCAAATCTGCAATCACCTATACATATGATTGGCATTAACACTAAGCATTTCGTCTTAATAAGGAAAACTATTGTACCCATTTAACCCTTTCCAGATGACGGAAAGATTTGTAATAACCAAATCGCTTGTATAACTTGAGTGGAGCAAGAAGTCTGCAATGCACTCACATGAAATCAGACTGGATTTTATGGGATCCACTGGCCATAGATTTGAACTCAACACCTTCCAGATCAATGTCTTGTGGCAAACACCATTCAACCATATTACCTGTGCAGAAAGGAGGAAAACAAAACATTAACACAGATCCAGCACAAGACCAAGGCCATAAAATCACACAGGTGTGCCTTTAGTTTTCTGAAAACCACTGAAAGCAAAGCCCCCATTGTCTGACATTGTAAGTTAAAGGAGAAGGATAAAGGAGATAGAGGAGAATATTTGTAATTAGGCAACATCAAGAGTGCCAATGATACTGGCACTGATGACACCTAGTTTGAGTAATGAAGCATCTGCAAGAAAACAACCAAACTCAAAGAGAACCAAGGGTCTCTCATTATAGGTTTGACAGAACCTAGTGGCGCAGCAGACTAAAGCACTGTTATTAACATCAGCTACCTGCAATTACTGCAAGTTCAAATCTCACCAGGCTCAAGGTTGACTCAGCCTTCCATCCTTTCAAAGATAGGTAAAATGAGGACTCAGATTGTGGGGGCAATAAACTGACTTTGTATAAACATATACAAAAGTATGAAGGCTATTGCTTAACGCATTGTAAGTCACCCTGAGTCTCCGGAGAAGGGCGGCATATAAATCAAATAAATAAAAAAAAAAAATAGCTACTTCTTCCTCAAAACCAACATTCTTAGGGCACCCAGATTAGTTCTACTTGAATTTTTTTCTCAGAAAGAAAGAAATTTCTCTAAACCTTCTGAAAAATGTGCTTTACATTTAAAAAAAAATTCAGCAAAGTTTATTGAGCTAATGTTGAGTAAACATCGTTATAATTGCTCTGCTGTCTTCCCTAAGTATTTTATTTTAATCAGGGGTGAAATGCTACCGGTTCGCACCAGTTTGGGCGAACCGGTAGCAGCGGCGGCAGGTTTTTGGTGAGCCGGTAGTGGCAGCAGCGCAAGGCTCCGCCCACATACCAGGAAGTAACCTGGTTTTGACCCTCTGCGCATGCGCAGATGGTTTAAAATCGTGCGTGCGCAGCATGCGCCCTTCCAAACCAGTAGGGAAGGTAAGTAGATTTCACCCTGATATCAATGTTTGTCAATACCTATCCATTCATCTATCTCAAACATGCAAGGGTTCCCTTACTTTGCTAGGTATCGGGAAGACTAAGAGGTTATGCCTTACCTCCAGTCCAGACATTTGCTAAATGAAATATTTATATTTATTCCAGTCCCTTGCGAGCCTTACAAAATTGGACATCTCCAATTTCAGTAGATATTAGACTTAAGAAGCACTGTTCCAGGTCAAAATGTGGCCATGGAAGCCTGGCACTTTCTATCCTGACTGGTGACAAGACATCCAGAGCAGGGGTGAGTTCTAAATTTTTTTACTACCGGTTCTGTGGGCGTAGCTTATTTTGTGGGCGTGGCTTGATGGTCATGTGACAATTATTTAGGATTTAGCAGAGGTACTGGTCTACCAGGCTTTTAACTGCTTGTAGAGCTGTACCGATCTACCCATTTATTTTTGCAGGCACAGGTCTACTCATTTGTTTTCTTTTAACACTGATCAGCTGTAGGGCAGCCCTTTGAAGCCCCACGGCAAAAGTTTAAACAGTTTTTTTCCGTCTAGCCATTAGCTGGGACTCAGGAGGCAGCAATAGATTGGGGGTGGGGCCAAATAAAAGGTAAGAATAATGCGGGGGGTGGGGGGGCGGGGGGCAGAACCGGTTCGGTGACATCATATCATCACTGCTACAGGCTCAGCAGAACTGGGCCGAACCGGGAGGAACCCACCACTGATCCAGAGGTTCATGCAGAAGTCTTCCCCGTCATTTGCTACTTGATGTCTGTTAACTGGTACTGTGGCCAAAATCTGACTCACCTAAAGCAACCAAATCACTTTGAAGATACAATGTGTATTAGCATACATACAGTATATACTAGGCTCTAAGAACCAAAGCAGTGATCAGTGAATACAAAGCTTGGTTTATTGGGCCAGGTTCCTGATTGATTCTTCTCCCTCTGGCCACCAAAGTCAATTCAGCATTCTGTGAATATTTACTTACAAGGGCAAATTAAGTTGCCATATATATGGGTTGGGGATTTCATAGGTTTATTAATGTATGCCTATGTATTAATGTATGACTAATGTATTATTTTAGGGACGCAGTGGGACGTGGTGGGACGCAGTGGCTCAGTGGCTAAGACGCTGAGCTTGTCGATCAGAAGGTCGACAGTTCAGCGGTTCGAATCCCTAGCACCATGTAATGGAGTGAGCTCCCGTTACTAATCCCAGCTTCTGCCAACCTAGCAGTTCGAAAGCATGTAAAAAATGCAAGTAGAAAAATAGGGACTACTTTGGTGGGAAGGTAACAACACTCCATGCATTTTCGGTGTTTATCATGCCAGCTACATGATCACGGAGACGTCTTCAGACAGGGCTGGCTCTTCGACTTAAAAACGGAGATGAGCACCACCCTCTAGAGCCGGAAACGACTAGCATGTATGTGCGGGGGAACCTTTACCTTTTTAATGTATGCCTCTGGGGGGAAGGTATCTTTTTACTACTACTTTGGAGATGCTAAGGATTGAGCCTGGAATCTTTTGCATGTAAACTACATGTCTTCCCTTCCAGACTGCGGTTCTTCCTAGGCATCCCATATCTGAGTTGATAAAATCTAAAGGAACATTTATTTGATGGAAGCAAAGCAACACATTTATTCTGTTCCCTTTGCTGCAACATGGTGATTATCCAACTATTTATAACCCATCATTAGTCCTTCCCCAGATCCATGATTGTTATTTCTTGAGCTCGTTCTTTCAGATATCACTATGGATTATGCTGTGACATTATCCTGCCTCCAAAGATTTCAAGTACAAGTTTGTTCCTTCCTCCACCCATATTATCCCAATTCTGGTTAGGCAAGTGTATTCCTTATTATCATTTGTTCTATTCCATCTTTCAGGATGACAAACGTATTATTGTTATTCTGCCCCATTGACATTCCTGCAAAAGCACTCACATAAATATTGATTTATGTGCTGTCAACTTATTTTCAACTACAAGTGACCACAGAGATTAATTAACATGAATCAACCAACCTTCATAATACTTCCCATTGGTGGAAAGGCCCAGGAGATGGTGGAAGATGGATATGGAAGAATCCAACTGGAGAAATTACCAGTGTTGTCAACTGCTTTTCTCAGACTATTGAATCATATATTCAATGAATAAACTGAACTCAGTGAATAAACAATCATTGACTGGATTCATCCACTAAGGTGAGCCGGAAGCTATGTACTATGCAACACAATAGGTGATTTCTTACAAAACACGCTAACTCAAAACCAAACAAAGCACATTATGTCTGTCCAACAATGACTTTTTTCCAAGGACATTCAGTGACTTGCAACTCCTGGTCCTAGTTCAACAGTCCATTATACCACAATAAACTTCTCTTGCAATGAGTAGGATCTTTTGATTGCACAAGCAAAATAATGCTTGTGCAATCTGAGTATTTGAAATAGAGACAATGATCCTTTGGACTAATATCTTTCAGTCCAAACAACTCATAGTGAGGCCACAAAGGGGGGGGGGGGACACAGACAGATTAACAGATTTGGAAGGGACCTTGGAGGTCTTCTAGTCCAACCACCTGCTCAAGCAGGAGACCTTATGCCATTGTGGACAAATGATTGTGCAATCTCTTCTTAAAAACCTCGAGTGATGGAGCACCTACTTCTGGAGACAAACCGTTCCACTGATTAATTGTTCTCACTGTCAGGAAATTTCTTGTTAATTCTAGGCTGGATCTCTCTTTAATAATCTTCCACCTATTACTTCCTGTCTTGCCGTCAGGTGAATTGGAGAATAGGTTGACACCCCCCATCGTTGTGATAGTCCTTCAAATATTGGAAGACTGTTATCATGTCACCCTTTAGTCCTTCTCTTTGTTAGACTAGATATATTCAGTTCCTGCAACTATTCATCATGTGTTTCAGCCTCCAGTCCCCTGCTTCCTTCAGTTTCCAGAGAAAAGCCAGGATATAAATACTATATTACAATTAATACTAAATAATCAAGATTTATAGAGCTTCATTTACACCACACACACAAAACCACGCATGAAAAACAAAAGAAATTAAATTCAAATCACTCATGGGAAGAGGAGGAGGAATAAGATGCGTGACTGGAATTTTAAAATGAAGCATTCTGGACCTGTACTACACTGTCTGTCATGTTCCTCCAGGCGTTTTAAATAAATCTTGAAGGTTCTTATGCCTGGTTAAGGAATGTTCCTGCTTTATGGAGAGAAGAATCTCTACGAAAATATTTATCTGTTTTGATTTATTGAGGGACACGGTGGCTCAGTGGCTAAGACGCTGAGCTTGTCGATCGAAAGGTCGGCAGTTCAGCGGTTCGAATTCCTAGTGCCGCGTAATGGGATGAGCTCCTGTTACTTATCCCAGCTTCTGCCAACCTAGCAGTTCGAAAGCACATAAAAAATGCAAGTAGAAAAATAGGGACCACCTTTGGTGGGAAGGTAACAGCGTCCCGTGCGCCTTTGGCATTTAGTCATGCCGGCCACATGACCACGGAGACGTCTTCGGACAGCGCTGGCTCCTCGGCTTTGAAACGGAGATGAACACTGCCCCCTAGAGTCAGGAACGACTAGCACATATGTGTGAGGGGAACCTTTACCTTTTTACTAGCTGGTTTGTGAGGAAAATATCCAAAGGCTGCTGGAATATATTAGAGAATGATTCCATCTCTCAAACGAACCACTTCTTTCTTCCCCCAAATCTCTTTTCAAGATATTTTGAAATGTTCCCCAAATGCATTGGGAAGCCATGCCAAACAGCTGTTAAATCAGGATAACGGGATTGTAATCCAATACACCAAAGGGATACTTGTTTGAGGAATGCTGTTCTAAGGACCTGATGTTTCAGCATTACATGCCTTAGGAGACAGTTTAAAGAGGAAGGACCTGGGAGGCTAGCTAGTGCAGAATCAGATAATTGACCTATTTGAGTGTTCATAATCGGCATTGATTGGCAGGATCTCAGAACAATTCACTGGGGCCCGTTAATATT